TTATAGCAGCTGACCTTAGTATCTTGTGATTAAAGTAATTCCTGTTCCTTGTTGGGATGACTTTTGTGATGGATTTGGGGAGGAGAGCTTCTACAAGACATCACAGATATAAAAATAGGAGAAAGTTTTAGAACTGCCAGTTTAGACATTATTGATATGTACCCCTCCATGTCATGGGAAATAGTTGAAGAAACACTAAAACAGATTAATATAGAACCAGAAATAATAGACCTAATAGAATTTTCTTATAGAAGTAACTATTTTGAAATTGATGGAAACTATTATACTCAAAATAAAGGGATCAGTATAGGATTCATAGGACCAAAACTTGCTAAAATAGTGATGATAGATATAGGCAAAAAGATTAACAAAATACAAGGAATAAAATTTTATAAATGATATGTTGACGACATTCTGATCATATACGACAATACAGAAATTACAATTAAACCAGGGCTGTGGAGTCGCGTAAAAATCTACCGACTCCGGCTAAAACACCAAAACTCCACGACTCCGATTCAACAGACCTGCCAGGGCTGTGGAGTCGCGTAAAAATCTACCGACTCCGGCTAAAACACCAAAACTCCATGACTCCGACTCCGACTCAACAGCCCTGCCAGGGCTGTGGAAGTCGTGTAAAAATCTACCGACTCTGGCTAAAACATCAAAACTCCACGACTCCGACTCCACAGCCCTGAATTAAACAGATAGAAGTAATTGTAAATAATATACATAAAGGAATCCAGTTTAAGATAGAAGAAGAAGACATTGTCAGCAATAGTATAAATTATTTAGATATTGTTATTAAAAGGAACGTAAATAGCTTAGAATTCGAACCTTTTAAAAAGTCTTGTTCCATTAATACAACCATTAAATATGATTCTCACATACCACTATATATAAAACAAAACATCTTTAATATGGAATATAATAAAATTAAAACTAGAACCAGCAAGCCCACCAATATGGCCAAACATATACATGACTTAAAAATAGAAATTTATTTTGGATGGATACACTAATCAATTAATTAGTACATGGGAAAAAAAAATAAATGATAAAATAACTAACAAGAAACATGATCAGAAAAAACAAAGCCCAGATATGAAATACATAAGTTTTCCATATATAAAAGGCTTATATGAAGAAATTAATAAAAAAAAAATGCAGAAAGTAAATATAAAACTTGCACCTAAGTACAAAAAACTTCAAGCCAGAATAAAAAACAAAAAATGTACAAAAAGTAAAGAGACCAAAGAAGAAATCAAGAATGTAGTTTACGAGATCCCATGTATTTGTAAAGATGCCAATATTTATATAGGTGAAACCAAACGTAAGCTAAATACAAGATTAAAAGAACATATTGCAGATATGAAATATCGCAGATTAAATTCAGTCTTTCATGATCATTGCCTACTAAATAACTGTAATATAGATAAAGCTAATGTAAAAATCTTATATAAAGAAAAGAATACATATAGTAGGAAATTTAAAGAAAGTGTGGCTATTATAAACTCCAGAAATTGTATAAATAAGAATCTAAGCGTAAAAATAAGCAAAGATTGGTTGAAAATATTGTAAAAATAAAAATTTTTTAAATGCTTTTTAAAGAAAAATTTTAAGGATATTTTAGTGAATTCTGTTTTATTTGGCTGTTTTTGACTATTCCAAATATTACGTAAATTCCGACTGTCATAAATAGTTAAAAATGCAAATTAGCAACCAAGCTCAATATTGTGTAAAGAACCAAAAACAAATTTTGTTATAATAAGTTAAGTTAAGTGAAGTTTATCTGATCCTGTTATGTGCCAAGGAAAAATTGAAAGAAGCCAGCCAAATATATCCATCAATCTTGGAAAGGAATCAGCCAATATATTCATCAACTTTAGTAAGAAGATGGAAGATGTATTATGTCTACTTAACAGTAAGAAACAGCACTAGATCAAACTTAGTATGGTTTTGCTCTATATCCGTATAAGCTTGTATATTTATATAGTGTTTATTGCTTAATCAGATGTACGTAGATTTTATAGCGTTGATATAGTCAACTTATCCTCCCAGTAAGGAAAACATGAACTTGTGCTGTATAAGCTTCATTGCATACATTGCATGTTTAATGGTACGTTTTTAAAATATACATGTTTTTGAATTGAGTTTGTATTATTTAATTTGGAAAATGTAATAATCCAATATTATATATGTTCTTTCTTATCAGTTGACTGATGAGGGGCAAAGTGCCCAAAATGTGTAAAAGTGCCCTATCAACTGAATAAAGAGGAAAACGCCAAGTGTTTATTTAATAACACAGTCTTGTGTTCAGTAGTCAAAAAATTAAAATATGAAAACATTGCTAGATGCCACACGTGCATTGCTTCCATGCTTCGTAATAAGTTTCTTTTTCATCTCAATCATCGATATTACAGCCTTCCTCTTACTTGTTAGACTTTGTTGCTTCCATACATTTCTTGGATGCCGTGGTTAATAAGTAACAGTTGTATTTATTGGCTTGAACAAAATGTTTTTGAGTATTTTTAACAGGTCTTGTTACTTAATGTAGTTGTGTGATTTAATTATTATAACAGTTGTGAAATTTAACGTTATTGCTAATTTGAGATATTATTCTTTGTTTAGAAGTTTATTTTATGTTTTGAGCACATTTTTTCACTGTGCATGCAGTTCCAACTCTGAAGCAAATTTTCGCAAATTTAGCATTTGAAGTATGAGGTACCATTGTGTTATCTTAAAAAATCTATATACAGTAGATCCCCCTATAAGACGGTAGATACGTTCCGTTCTTTATGAATCAATTTTGTAGGAATCATAGTTTACGGACTACGGCTGTTTGAAAGGTTTTCTTTCATAAAATTAATCGATTCTAGACTAATTCGACTCAACATTTCCAAAATACGTATATTTTTTTTAAAATAATCCGTATAAACTACGTTATAAACAAAAAATTGTAGGATTACTTACCGAGTGTGTACCCTTTGACTACGCTCGTTGCTAAAGCTTGGTTTCGTCGCGGAACAGCGCATCAAATTGCGGCCGCGATTTCTGATATTATTTTTCTGCGAAAACTTCGTTGACCTTTGGAGACATCATTAATATAAATAATTTTTATGGCCGTTAAATAAGAAATGTTTCTTTCACAAGAAATGTATAAAATTACAGTACTAAACAGACGATAGGTCGCCTAACTCGCCGTAGCGTGACGCTAGACGGCGAAAAATATATATTTAATTATAATAAAGTTACAATAAATTAAGTTAATATATAATTATATATACAGTACCTAATTTATATATAATTAATATATAATTATATGTACAGTACCTAATTTATATATAATTTATATAATACTGTCCAGACGATAGAAATCTCTCCGTAGCGTGGCGCTACGGACGGCGGGTAAGTAGTTCGGCTGCCCGATGACGTTTTACGTATTATAGGAGTTATTTTTACCGTTGTTTACGGATAATGCCACAATTTTTATAGGAATCATAACTATAGGAAACGCTTTTATAGGGGGATCTACTGTATATAAAAATGAGTGTGTGTGTGTGTGTGTGTCCTTCATGCATTACCATACCCTTTATCCGATTGCGTGAAACTTTGGGAAGTTGTTTAATACACTCTGGCATAGTACATTTATCCTACGATAGATGGCGTGCGTTTACACGAGCATTCGAACACTGTGTGTTCGATCGATTTCAAATTGTGAATACCATTTTCCCCCTTCGAAAAATATCTCTATATATGCATTTGTGAACTGTTATTTATGATATTTGTAATAATTTTTGTTTAATCACTTTATTTCAAGTTTTTTTTGCTAATTATGTATTCGCTTGAACTTTGTTAAAACTTTAACTGTACCCCAAACAACAACTGAAGTTGTAGGAAGAAATTTGCGTATTTTACCGATCTAGGTATCCCCCTTTTCCAAATTTTAATATCAGCTCAAAATAATTTAAAAAGACAAATTACAATAAAATGGTTTATTATCCAACTATCAGAAATTTCAGAACACGCCAAGGAAGAGAGGAAGGAGCAATTAAAAAATTAAAATTATAAAGGATTAAAAAATATATATATATAAATGGGGAATATCGCACTTCTAACAATCGCTGCAAGTGTATGGGCTAAATTTGGAAAATCCATGCTTATTGCGTGGACAACTGTATGTGGCCGGCTCACGCATCGGAAAACTTTTTGATTTATTCGTGTACACACCAGATGGAAAAACAAAAAATATTGTGTATCCACAAACACTCCAATAAATAACGACACTTTGAAATGCTTTTCCGATGAAAATGAATAATAATAATAAGTTTCAATAAAAATGATAAAATGTAAATTGAATTTTATCATAATGAGTTTGCTTGAATTTCCTTTCTTCTGAGATCGCAGCAATGTGCGACAGTAATTGTAAGCTAGTATTGAATATATATTGATAAAATTTCACACCTTAATCCCCCAGCAAAATTTTATTGCAAACATTTTCAAATGTATTAAACATCTATCTTCAGGCAAATTATTATTGAATAATACAGAAAAATTAATAAATGGAACATATATTCCATGGGTTTAAATCTAATTAAAAAACAAATAAATGATGGATGTAATTAATGGGTAATCCTCATTAATGCTTCACTGGCTTAAAAATTCCAATCTGGTCTTTGTTCTATTTAACATTTCAAAACCTACTCCTGTACTCCTGTACTGCTTGGCTGACAACACAGAGTCAAAATCACAAAAGCTGGATATCATTAAAGTAACAAAATTTTGTATTTGCACATGGAAATAAAACTTTGCTGAAGGAATAAGTTGTGGAACTTTATTAGTTGAACCATCTGAAGTTTGACTTTTGTAAAAATATAAGAAATATCTAATTGTTTAAAATTGATATTTTTATATTTTAAATTGAGAAATTAATAAATCTATCATGAAAAGTTTTTGTTTTTCCTTGACAGATTTGTTTTAAATCTTTCTATTTTTTTTAGGTGTTAGAGAAAATGAGGCCTATTGATCAAAAATTAAAATATCAAATTGATAAACTCTTGAAATCAAGTGTAGCAGGAAACATTGGTGAGTAATGTATTTTTACATGGTATAGTAAATATTTTTTATATTGTTAATCTTAAAATATATCTTTACACAGTAGAAAGATTGTACATATGTGTATATATTAAGTTTATTCATTACTCAAAAATGGCTAAAATAAATTATCATTATTGAAAAAAATGTTTTGTATAAAGTTTAACTGTTAAATTTAATCATAAGTTACATCTATAGGATCATTATATGCATCTGTGATAGATGCAATAATTTATAATAACAAAATAACGAATGATACAATAATATTAAATACTATAAATAATATTAATGAAGATATAAAATTTGATATTGAATAAGAAAAATGCAACCAAATAAACTTTTTAGATATAACAATAACTAATGAAATAGACCAGGGCTTCTTAAACTTTTTATATTCACGACCCCATTTATGATTGTGAATTTTTTCACGACCCAAAAAAAAATCTAAAATAAAGATATATACAAATTTGCAAAAACAATAATGGTCTACTACCACAGTTCACTCTTGTGTTACAATGGAACAGAGACAACTGAATACACTGAAAAGCAACAACACTACACTAGTTCACACTACAGCATTGCTGAATCATTGTCTCGCTGCACCAGAAAAGACACAAAGCACAACTCACGAAACCTATGACACAAAGCGTGCCATTTTTAAACTCTCACAAATTATTTTCAATATTTTGCATTAAAATCTCACAACCCCAAGATTTTGCTAAGCGACCCCAAATGCGGTCATGACCCATAGTTTAAGAAGCCCTGAAATAGATAAATTTTCTTTTAAAACATTTAAAAAGCCATGTAACGTCAATAAAATCATCGATTATCAATCCTGCATCCCTGAAACTATAAAAAAGAACACCTACATAATGGGTCTAAAAAATATACATACAAGAACTACTAATAATATGAATCATAAAATTGAATTAAAAGAATTAGAGAATACATTTATTTTTAATAATTATCCCAGTTACAAATTAAAAATGTGGCACAACTAGTATTATAAAAACAGATTTAATATCAAATATAAAAAAGATAAGAATTATAAAGCTGTTCCTTATATCAATGATGTTTATAATAACTGTAGTAAGTTTTTAAAAAAAGAAAATATTGTTTTGGCCCCATCTTTGACCAATAAAATTTTACATACTGAGATCGTATCATGAATAATTACCCCAGTTACAAATTAAAAATGTGACACAACCAGTATTATAAAAACAGATTTAATATCAAAAATAAAAAAGATAAGAATTATAAAGTTTTTCCTTATATCAATGATTATAATAATTGTAGTAAGATTTTTAAAAAAGAAAATATTGTTTTGGCCCCATCTTTGACCAATAAAATTTCACGTAATATTTACAATAATAATAATAATAAATATAAAATTAATGTTTATAAATTTAAAAAAATCAGGAGTTGTATATAAAATTAATTGTAATTGCCAAAAACCAAAAAATTATATAGGTGAAACTAGTAGAATGTTAGAATTAAGAATTAAAGAACATGAAGCAGCAATTAGATTGAAATACAATAATTCTCCGTGGTTCAACCATATAAAAAATAGTAATTGTCAAATAGATAGAAATAATATAAAAGTAATTCATTTGGAAAAAGATATGTATNATCTATACTAATATTATAAAGAGGTAATGTTTGTAAGTAAGTATGTATGTAAGTAAGTTTGGATGTAGCAGGTAATCTCCAAAACTACTCATCCGATTTCAAAAATTCTTTCACCAATATTTAGAATGGAACTTCAGGGTGGACATAGGCTGTATATTATTCCGTTAAACATTCATATAAATTAAATGATATCATCTATGGTTAAGGCTTTTATGTCCAACAGATGGCACTATGAGTACGACGCCCTAAGTTTGCTTTTCTGTGAGGCATTATGCTTTTCTGTGAAAATGAACTAAAGCAGATCATCTTCTATCTATCTATATAAATAAAAATGTAATGTTCGTTTGTTCTACCGGTTTCTTTGAAATTTTGACACAACGCTGCATTCGAATACACACATGTTTTTATATAATATACATGTCAAAATTCAACCACTGAAGGAAGATGGTTAGGATTAAGGCTTACGGTAAAGAACTCTGCTTCTATTTATATTATTTTAGATGCGGGTTTTTGCGTTTTTGATTGCGTTTTAATAGGGTACGTCAAGAGAATGTACACTAAGAAGAAATTTTTTGAAAAATTCCCCCCCCATGGGGGAAGTGTTATAAATTTATAATAGTTACATTTTGAGCCACAACATGTGGCGGGGTTTGCTAGTTGTAGAATATACACATTCTTTAAAAGTTGTGCTCATAAAATCTTATATAAGTACATGTTAAAAGTAAGTATCGTGTTATATTGTTATTTTATTAAGATATATGATGTTATAAAGTATAAAATGATTAATATATTAAGTTTTCCATATTAAAGTTGGAAAATGTATTTGTAGTGTTTTTAATGGCTGTATTATAAAATCTTTTCAATGTTACCCGCTATACACCATGGTTTTAAAAGACAGAACCATAGGTATCGTATAAGTGTGACAATTTTTAAGTATGATAGTTTTATGTCAGTAAATATGATCTACACATGAGGAATTTTGTCATGTTACTAATTGTGTGTTTTAATAATTTGTAGTATTGCACGGAAGAGGGACTTAACATTTATATAAGTCTGAAATGCATATGTGGAAACAATAAAAGAAGTGTCTAACCTGAAAGCTGTAGTGATAGTCTATAGAATTTAATGTCAGATTAAAGAGACATATATACATACATATTTAGAAAGTTATGTAATTTAATTTTAAGATGACAAACTGAAAATTCAAATAATAAAAAAACATGTGTAAAAAACTTAAAAAACATTGTAAAATTCAAATAATAAAAAACATAATTCTTAAAAGATGTAAAATTTTAAGAATTTTTCAAAGGAAAAAACTGCTTAATTTATGATATAAATGCCATTAAATTTTATTCATTTATTTTTTATTAAAGTATTATAATTGAACATTTATTTAATATTTTCACATTGATAATGATTTTATCTTTTATAGATCCCAATGATCCCATTCATTTGAAACCTAATATTGGAAATATACAGAACAAGGTCAGTATTTTTAAATAAATTCTACAGTTGAAATTGTAAAAATTCTGTACTAGAAAACAGATACACATCACTTGTAAAGTTATGATAAAAGATGATTTTTTCCATGCTCTATGACATCATATTAATTACAAATTCCTAAACCACTATGAAGAAGTTTGAAGTTTGTTGTTAAATTAGGGAATGCTATAAAGTTTACATAGTTTTTACATTGAAGTATGTTTAACTGAAGACCCCTTTTCATTTAAACCAACTTTTGCACTCACATCATTTATAAACTGGATTGAACCATTATTAATGTTTCAGATGCATTTTAGACATTCACATATATTGAAGTCTCTTTTCAGTTGTCATAACATTAGTTGCATAAAGTTTTCTATGCAGAATTTTTTGAATTGTTTATGATTGTTAATGTAATACTCTTAATTACAATTTGTAAAAGTTAAAAATAAAGATGCTGTATGAGGCTAATGTCAGATTGTCACAGATGAGTGTGAAAACACAGATACTTTTTTTTCTATTCATGGACAGAAAAGTAATTGTCAGATGAGCACTATTTTTTCATGGAGCACATTGGTAATCAGTTTCATTTCAGATGCATGTGTGTTAACATGGATCTCATAGATTGTGATGTTCTGTTTTTTAATACATACAGAAGTATTTAAAAAAAGGATATAGGCCATAATGGGTATGTCCTTTTGATTGTAACTGGCCTTCCTTTTTCTTATTGCTGTTTTTATAAAGTTCAAGCAAAGTTTCTCTCAATTCTGGCTCCTCACTAATTTATATGATCATTTTACTTACATTGATGTCTATTTTTTAAAATATAGTAGATCCCCCTATAAGACGGTAGATACGTTCCGTTCTTTATGAATCAATTTTGTAGGAATCATAGTTTACGGACTACGGCTGTTTGAAAGGTTTTCTTTCATAAAATTAATCGATTCTAGACTAATTCGACTCAACATTTCCAAAATACGTATATTTTTTTGAAAATAATCCGTATAAACTACGTTATAAACAAAAAATTGTAGGATTGCTTACCGAGTGTGTACCGTTCGACTACGCCCGTTGCTAAAGCTTGGTTTCGTCGCGGAACAGCGCATCAAATTGCGGCCGCGATTTCTGATATTATTTTTCTGCGAAAACTTCGTTGACCTTTGGAGACATCATTAATATAAATAATTTTTATGGCCGTTAAATAAGAAATGTTTCTTTCACAAGAAATGTATAAAATTACAGTACTAAACAGACGATAGGTCGCCTAACTCGCCGTAGCGTGACGCTAGACGGCGAAAAATATATATTTAATTATAATAAAGTTACAATAAATTAAGTTAATATATAATTATATATACAGTACCTAATTTATATATAATTAATATATAATTATATGTACAGTACCTAATTTATATATAATTATATGAACAGACGATACTAAACTCAATTTATCCGCCTAAACGTCCGTAGCGTGGCGCTACGGACGGCGGGAAAGTAGTTTGGCTGCCCAATGACGTTTTACGTATTATAGGAGTTATTTTTACCGTTGTTTATGGATACTGCCACAATTTTTATAGGAATCATAACTATAGGAAACGGTTTTATGGGGGGATCTACTGTACTCAGGTACCATATACCCTTCAGCAGGAATGACAGCAGGTTTTAGCTGGCAGCACTGGCACTTTTGTGGGGTGTTTTTCTGGGAACTGTCTGTTGTGCTGAATCAAATGTTTTTGATACTAGATTAACTTATAAAGTATAATTTTTTTGTTTTTATATTTTTCAATATATTTATTTTGTTTTTAAAAAATAAAGAAATAATTTTTAACGATACAATAGCCATGATTATTATTTTGAAAAGTTTACATTAGGCTTAACATCGACGAAAATTCAACGCAAAGCGACATGCAAAAGAGAAAAATTTCAACATTGGATAGGTTAATATATTTTTTCATACATAATCGGTTATCCGAAAAATATGTTATCCGAACAACCCCAGTTCTCAATTGATTCGGATAAATGACGCTCTACTGTAATACTAGTTATCAAATTTTAATATTTACATACATGAATGCTTAGTTTCTTGGTGTTTTGGATTTAGGAAGATACGGATGTGAAGAAGATTAAATTTCTTAAAATAGTTAAGATAAAATTCTAAATGTAGTGATTGATGTAAATACAAATATAATTTGATTATATTGCAGGAAAGCGAAGAAGAAATGTCTGGTTCTGAGGAGGAGGAAGACCAAAATGAAACAAAAAAATCAAAAGTATATGTGGCTCCTAAATTATTACCAATGCATTATGGTAAAGCATTTATTTTAATATTAAATGGCTTTAAGAAATAATTATCTAATATAATTCGTTTGATTTTAAAAATTTTCTAATAACTTGCATCATATATAGATGGAGATGATACACTAGAAGATAAGAGAAAGAAACTTTTTGATAAAGCTAGGAAGAGAGTTTTGAACAGTAGTATAATGCAAGAGTTGAAAAGAGAATTTGATGAAGGACCAGAAGAAATATGGGTAATTTTTTAATATTTTTATATATAGAGCATATATCAAAAAAATATTCTACATTGAATAATTTAACAATTTTGCATAATTAAATTTTTTTATAAAATGAAGAATTACACTTTTTTTTTATTTAAATAACATTTTACATATTTTTTGTATCAATTTCATTATCAGGAAAGCTTCTATTTACTTTAAGATATCTGGAAGACTTTTGAATTTTGAAATTACTCATTAGTTGCTAACAAGAAATTATTATGTGAGCTTTATGTCAAATTAATTAATACATCAAAACTTATTACAAATTTTAACTGATTTAAAAATTAACAAAATATTATTTATTTTGACAAATTAATTAATACATATTTATATGGTATAGAATTAATTTATTTCTTATTTTAAAAGTGACAGTATTAAATTGAAATTTGTATAGTTTTTCTCTTAATATTAATAATAATAATTAATTGACATACTTTAATTCATTAAAATAAATAACATTTTGATGCAAAAAATTAATCTTTATACAGGGTCTTCCAAAAAAAACTTTCATTTTAAATTACTGTAATTATGTTAATTATTAATTATTACTTGAGAAGTATGCATTGCATATCAATCGATAAAATAAATTGTTTCAGTTTTATCAACCATCTGTGTTCAAATGTTTTTCATATGCTATCTATAGGAAGCACTGTGAACAAAAATGGTGACTCCACAATAGAGAAGATGTTTTGTGTTTGCAGAACTTTGACTCAGTCATCATTATTCAACAAGAATGCTTGCCCTTATATGGTGGATCACTTTGAAATTATCTGCAAAACTCACATTGCATGATGATAATTGACTCTGATTTTGTGAACTGCATAACGTGATGCTCTGCTGCAGAGTTGCCATTTTTGTTAACAGTGCATTCTAGAGGTAGCATACAAAAATACATTTGAATGCAGATGGTAGGTAAAATTCAAACAGTTTACTCTATCAGTTAGTGTATAATGCATGCTTCTCAGGTAATAATAAACATAATTACAGTAATTTAAAATGGTGATATTTGTTCTGAAGAACTTATATTAAACATGTATTGTGTTATTGAATGTATAACATTATTTAATTTAAAAATCAAATGTTATGCTAATTATTGCTGAATTTCTATGTAAAGAATTCTTTGAATAGGAAATGCTCTAGTAGTTGAAACAAAACACAGTGTGGTGTAATGATTCTTTATTCACCACAAAATGATCCTTGTACTTACATTAGTAATGAAAAAAAGTAACTCAAATGCATTTTATATGAAAAAATCAAACAGAAGGTGCTATACTATTTTTATATTGAAATTGAAAAGAATGTTAGGATTGAAATAAATACTTTTATGCATTTATATTGAAAAATAGACAGTAATTTTCTGTATTTTTATTTTGTTTTTTAGTAAAAGCTATTTCACTTCAACAAACAATTCTAACTTTATTTGCATAATTGAAAATTTTGCATGAAATGTTTTCTTGAAATAAAGCTGTTTTGAAGGCATCAAAAAAGTTGTTGTTTGAAACTCTCCTTGGATACATGTTTCAGTCTCATTATGAGTATAGTAATTGTAATGTAATGTAATGTAATATCTGTCTGACAGGCACAAATGAGTTGGCATTTTAACCAATTTTAATATTTAGCAGTACAAAAAATAAATATTTTTTTATTTATTTGACTTATGTTTATGCAGAAATTAAACTATTAAATAGGGATATTTTTAAATGTAAAAGGACATAACTTCAACTTTTGACAGAAAAATTCATGGAAAAGAGAAATTTAAAATATAAAACTTCATAATATGGAAGTTTGACTATGTGATTATTAAATAATTTTATTGCACATTTGATGATGATAAACCAAATTTCTTCAACTTAAAACTAAAATATGAATTATAAATTTATTTAAAAGTGAAGCTGGAATTATATATGCATGTGCATGGCAGCCCAAAAAGAAAAGTACATGTACAAGTAAACAGATTTAGCGTAGAAAAATACAAGTCTTCTACTTGGAAATAGAAAATTAAAAGTTTTCTTATATATATATATATATAAGACTGTCCAAAGAATAAAGTTCTGTTCTATATTTTATATGGCTCTTTTGGTGCTGAATCATTGTATTTTGCCCTGTGTTATTAATTTTGAATCATAAATTTGATTTTTTTTTTCAATTTCTATTCCAAATCATTCTTATAAATATATAAAGATGCATTGCTGATTGCCGTATATTAAATTGAAATGAATATAGCCATGGTGGCCAAACTGCAGCTCCCATATATTTAATTATTATAATTACCAGTAAATATACCAGAATACGTATCCATTATATAAAATATTAGGTAACCAAAAAAGTTCTGTCGTTTTTTGTGAAACTACAAAGTTTAAAGAATGTTACATGCAATACACAATAGATGACACTAAAATTCCAGCAATATGTTAATCAAGATTTAATGCTGACTCACCTTATATAAAGAGAAGTGGAAAGGTTATCTCTTAATATTATAAAAATTGACTTGAAGATGAGTACTCCAAACTCTGTAATTCGTGCTTGTATGTTGTATGAGTTTAAACTTGGAACAAGTGCTGTGCAAATGGCTCAAAAAATATGCCAGGCTTTTGGACAAGGTTCTGTTAGCACTCACACCACCCAAAGATGGTTTACAAAATTTTCTTCCGGCAATGAGTCGCTTAAAGATGCGCCATGAGAATGATGTTGAATTACAGGCTGCAATCGAAGAATATTCTGCTCAAACTTGTCAGATGTTAGCACAAAGGTTCTCCGTAAGTGATGAAACTGTCCGTTTACATTTGCATTGTCTTGGGAAAGTTTACAAGCTCAGTAAATGGATACTTCATCAATTGGCACCTGCCAATATTGTGCATATGGTGGACTGCAAATGGAATTGTTCACTATGAACTTATACCATCTGGCCAGACTATTACTGCTAATGTCTACAGTGACCAACTGCATTGAGTTCACCAATCACTTTTGAAAAAACCACCAGCTTTAGTGAACCATAAAGGCGTTCTTTTCCTACACAATAATGCTATAGACATCATGTTGCGCGTGTGACCTCTGACACAATTCAGACCCTTGGATGGGAACCTCTTTTGCACCCTCCTTATTTCCCTGACATTAGCCCTTCTGACTATCACCTATTTTTAAGCCTAGATAATCATCTGCGAAATTGACAGTTTAGAAATAGAGAGGTTATAGAAACGGAATTAGGGAAGTTTTTCAACTCTAAAAATCGTGACTTTTATAAAAATGGAATTTATAAGCTTGTTTCCTATTGGGAACAGGTTATTGAATGTGAGGGTGGTTATTTTGATGAATAAATTGTGTTATTTCCTATACATTTTTATGTTTGTTTTCTTTCAACAAAAAACGACAAAACTTTTTTGGTTACCTGATACAAACACCACATTCTCTATTGAAACTTGTATTTTTGATAATGATATATAGTTCCTGTTGTGAGAAGGTTTGGCCAGCCCTGGTATAGTAAGTGAGAAGTACAGTTATAAATACTATTAAGCAAATATTCATATTAGAACATTTTTGTGATATCAATATAGTTGTGAAATAACAAATCCGAAAATATTATCAGTATATTTTGTTTTTTGATTATATGGAATGTAATGAAATGTAAGTTAAAAGGAAGTATTCCCTTTTCAAAACAAATTTTTAATGTAAAATATTTTGTTTTTAATCATTGAATAGTCATTGACTGTAAAAAAGTTCAGAGAATGTTTCAAGCATTAAATAGAGTAATATAAAAACACTGCTTTAAATTGTTTATAATTAATTTTTTTGAAATATTACACACAAAATACTTTATAAATTCATATGGTTTCTTAATGACTTGTAAAATTGAATGTAAAATAATCTTTCTTTTTTACATAGGATTCAGTTGGCCATCATAAATTAAGACAAAATAAAGAAATGAAGGAAAGACAAGAGTAAGTACAGAGTTTTGTTGAAAAAATCACTTATGTCTATTAGATAAGTTCTCTTGTGTTGATACAGACATTGATTATTGCTATTCAGAAAATAAACTTTTATTATAAACAGCTTTTAATTACATTTTAGTAAATGGTTACATTATTATATGTCTTAATTAGGAAAAATGAATTCCTGTCATAATTTATGAATTAAAATCTTAAAGATGTATGTTCTACTGTTGATAAATCTGTTCTGTCTCTCTCTATATAAAATACAATAGAGCATCGATTATCCGACTCAATTGGGGACTGGGGTTGGTTGGATAATTGAAAAGTCGGATAACCGAAAAGTATGAAAAAATCCATTATTAGTGTAGTATATTATTATATCCCATGTAATTAGTATATTAGTATATTGCTATTAACCTACTTTGTGTTGAATTTTTATCAATGTTAAGCCTAACAAAAATTTTTTTAAATAATAATCGTCGC